ATAACTTCTATAAACCCTAAACCCTAAACCCTAAACCCTAAACCCAGTTTTTAGATTAATTACCCTATTTCCTACGTTCGTATCTCCGCGGAGCTTGAGAGTCCCGCCCTTTTAATTGGGGAGCCCGTTTGGACCCTACGTTCTTATCTCTGCGGAGCTTGGAGTCCCGCCCTTTTAATTGGGCAGCCCTTTGTAGCGTCCCAGGCTGTCCAATTAGTCCTTTCCTGCCTCCCTGGAGCCTCCCGGGCTGTGCAATTGGTCCTTTCCTGCCTCCCTAGTGCCTCGCAGGCTGTCCAATTAGTCCTTTCCTGCCTCCCTGGTGCATCCCAGGCTATCCAACTGGTCCTCTCCTGCCTCCCTGGTGCCTCCCTGGTGCCTCGCAGGCTGTCCAATTAGTCCTATCCTGCCTCCCTGGTGCCTCGCAGGCTGTCCCATTGGTCCTTTCCTGCCTCCCTGGTGCCTCCCAAGCTGTCGAAATGGTCCTTTCCTGCATCCCTGGTGCCTCTCTGGTGCCTCGCAGGCTCTTTCCTGCCTCCCTGGTGCCTCCCAGGCTGTCCAACTAGTCCATTCCTGCCTCCCTGGTGCGTCGCAATTATTCCTTTCTTGCCTCCCCGGTGCCTCCCAGACTGTCCAAATGGGCCTTTCCTGCCTCCCTGGTGGCTCCCTGGTGGCGCAATTGGCGGTGCTGAGCAAATTTCAATGGCGACCGGCGCGCGCGTTTCGTTGCAAATCCCAGGGTGGCCCCACGGCGGTCGAGCAATTCGCTTAATAAAGGCTTGCTTGGCACCTGAACCCACCGGCTGGTTGGCACCTACACCGCCGGCTGTCTCCGGTTGAACAACGATCTTTTGCGGGCCGGTTTCTCCGTAGACTCTTGCCCTAAACCCTCTCGTCAGGGGCCCGCGTCGGCGTCAATATATCCCCGCGTTGCGCCAATAGCGAGATACCCTTTAACTTCGCGCTCGGCCGGAACTTCGCTCGATCTCTCGCTCGTTCCGACCTTCCGCTCGCCTCTCGAACTTGGCGGCGCGACCTCGTGGAAGTAGTCTTCGAAAAAATAGAAATTGCGCCGGGCCCCCGCCAAGGGTTCGAATGAACCCTAAACCCGAAAAGGTTGAGACGTGGGAGGAGCGCAAGCGGGGGTGGGTAAAGACAACTCATGAGGGCGAGCGAAGCGAGCCCACTCGAAGCTGCAAACCCTTAACCCTAAACCCTAAACCCTAAACTTTTAGGGCTAGCGCCACTTGTGCGCCAACACAGGTCTTCTTTTTGCTGGTTACAGAGATAGTTGCACGGCCTGGAATGAAAAGGCCTTCAAAATCAAGGCTTAGGGCATCCCAAGAACGTCAGGAAAGCCAAGGCTTAGGGCAAGCCAGGGCTTAGGGCAAGGCGTGCTTTAAAGACCAGCTAGCTATGCAAAGCCTTAGGGCAAGCCAGGGCTTAGGGCAAGGCGTGCTTTAAAGACTAGCTAGCTATGCAAAAGCTTAGGGCAAGCCAGGTCTTAGGGCAAGCCAGGGCTTAGGGCAAGGCGTGCTTTAAAGACTACCTAGCTATGCAAAGGCTTAGGGCAAGCCAGGGCTTAGGGCAAGCCAGGGCTTAGGGCAAGGCCTACTTTAAAGACTTTAAAGCAAGGACTTGGCCTGGGCGCCAACCTGTGTTGGCGAACCCTAAACCCTAAACCCTAAATTCCCACCTAGGCCTGCTTAGGCCGTTCCCACCCACTTCTGGGTGGTCAGACACTGAAGATACCCGACAGCCATATACACCGTCTCTAGGTAGAACAATGGGTGGTGCCATTGGAGAGTGGTCTACTAGAGCCTCTAAGGCTTAGCTTTGCCTCAGGACAGCTATCGCTGTGCCAATCCTATACAAGGTAACCTTGAAAGACCTTATGCAAGGTCAATACCCTAAAACCACGGTGGGAAGCCCTCTACCCGGCAACACAGCTCTCATAGCACAGGCTTGCCTTTAACAACCCCTGGTGCCTCCCTGCTGCCTCCCTGGTGCCTCCCAGGCTGTCCAAATGGCACTTTTCTGCCTCCCAGCTCCCTCCCAGCCTCTCCAAATGGTCCTGTCCTGCCTCCCTGGTGCCTCCCTGGTGCCTCCCAGGCTGTCCAATTGGTCCTTTCCTGCTTCCCTGGTGCCTCTCTGGTGCCTCCCAAACTGTCCAATTGGTCCTTTCCTGCCTCCCTGGTGCCTTGCAGGCTGTCCAATTAGTCCTTTCCTGCCT